TAAGGACTCTTAAAAATATTTTAAACATTTTTATTATTTTTAGTTATACATGACAGTAGACTGTGTTTTGGCAGAATATACATACATGAAGTACAACTTATTCTATTTGGGTTCCCACTCTTGTGGTTGCACATGATGTGGAGTTTTCCTGGTCATGTATACAAATGCAAGGCTAGGACAGTTATGACCAACTTTCTGCTGTCTCTCCTATTCCTCTCCTTCCCTTCCTCCCCCTTTGTCTAATCCAATGGATTTCTATTGTCCCCTCCCCAACCTCCCTGTGGGTTAGCATCCACAAATCAGAGTCAATCCCAAGAAACCAAAGGCCACATGTTCTCTCTGAAATAAGGACCCTAATCCATGTATGTTTCAACATGTCTTTTAGTCTCCTTTAGTAGTCAATAATATAATTGATCTTCTAACCGCTTCTATGCTTGAGTTTTTCCTGAGTTTACAACTGTAAAGTGATCTAAAAGTGAGACAAAAGTACTTTCTTTTGTGTTTTCTAATTTTTCTTGGTGCATTATAATTATACATAATAGATTCATCATGGCATATTTTACATGGACATAACATAATTTTATCAATTTCATTCACAGTACTTCCTTTTCCCTTATCTCCTCCCTCCCCTGACCAACTTTTTCACCACTGGTATAGTTTTTTTCTTAATGGAAACCAGCTTGAGTTCAAATTTTAACTTTACCACATACTGGCTATGTGTCCTTTATGGTTTGGTTTCTGTGGTGCTCGGATTGAACCCAGGGCCTTACATATGCTAGGCAAAAGTGCTCTCCCACTGAGATATATCCAGAACTTGGGTGTGTGTCCTTTGACATAGCTTCTGTGAGCCTCAATTTCCTTGTCTGCAAAATGGGAATAATAAGTATCTCATAAGACTATTGAGGATTCCAGAGTTTATAAAGCATCTTGTACATTCGTAAGTGTTCCACAAATGATAGATATCATTACCTTGAGTTAATTTCAGGGCTGATTATAGCTGTTTCTCTTGAACAGTTTTGTGAAGGATTTTCAGGCTCAGTATTCAGGCAAGACACTAATCCCCTGACCCTGTTCTGCCTTACGTGTGCAGGTTCCTGCCATAGGCAAACCCTAGACCTTCCTCTCGGACCAAAGCGGGAAGTGTACCAACTGGTCAGAGCCACTGTGGTTTATCATCAACAACTCCACCTAGCTCACTGTCATTTGTCCTGCCATGTGGAGCCCTGGGCCCCACAAACCCCAACCAACCACTTTCCTTCAGGAGGAAATTCCTCAAAGCCTTCTCTGATGTGTAAGCCTGGACAGAGATGGACATCACACAGCACATTCAACAGACACTCTGGAATCACAAGAGTCACCGGGTCCTAAGACTCCGCTTCATGTATAAGCAGGAAAAAGGTAGCGAGGTTCCTGGGATCCAATGGATTGGCACTTCACCTTTGGACACTGCCTTTGTGCTACTCTATTTCAATGACACTCATAAAAGTGGCCAGAAGGCTGAACTTCCCAGTGGACTGGAGGAATTTTTGGCAAGGGAATCTTCTCTTTTGTGGAGGGTCCGGCAGGCAGGCAGCATCGTGTCTAGGGTTTCTGACTCTTCCCAGGAACATTATGGGTCTGCAAATAATCAGTCTGCCAATAATCAGTGTTCCCTTGGTCCTTTCAAAGTCAGCTTCCAGCAGCGGGGCAGGAATCATTGGATCATTGCTCCTCGTCACCATACCCCAAACTACTGTAAGGGATCCTGTCCTCGGGTGCTACGCTATGGTCTCAATTCCCCCAATCAAGCCATCATTCAAAACCTCATCAATGAGCTACTGGACAAGAATATTTCTCGGCCCTCCTGTGTGACTTATAAGTATGCTCCCATGAGCGTCCTTCTGATTGAGGGGTTTTACCTGTGTCATACCCCTGTTCTCTATTGCCAGACCCCAGTACCTAGTAAGTCATTAACACAAACACAGAACACAATCAATAATTTTTACAGAGTGGGAAATCCAACTCAGGTCCTCATACGTGCTAGACAAGTGGCCTACCCCTGAGTTTTATACCCTACCCAACAGTGACATTTTTGTGGGGGATGTGTTCTTCCTGATACAATAATTCAATATTTGCATTGTTCACTAACTTTTTCATTGGAATAAATATAATTTATGCATATGCTTTGTACATAACTTAAGATGATTAATAGTTGTGCCCATTTCAAAAGGATGCTGCAAATTTCAATAGAACGTGACAGTTTTGTTACTGAACAAGGCAGTTTGTGAAATCCTATGTACTTCAGTTTGAACTAAGAGGAGATATGGGCTTTCAGTCCAGTCATTTTCCCAGTCTGCCTGGATTATGCACAAATACATAACAGGCCTGAAGACAAACCTTGGTTATAGGACCAGATCCTGAGTTCAGTYTCTTGGTTCTTTGGGATTTTCAGAAAGTCCTGATCTCCCAGCCTTGAGTCCTGAATACCTGTGGAACAAGYTGTTTATGGAGTACTCAGTTGATTGGCTGTTCCTATCATCCATTAAGCCCAGACTCATCAAAACCCCCAAGGAAATCACTGGCTGTTAGTTTAGTTSAGGTGTCCCTCAAAATCTCATGTGTAAGATGAGATTTAGAAGAGAAATGTTGGGTTTAGAGGAGAAATGACTGGGTTAGAAGAGCCTTAGGGGTTAACTGAAAGACAACCATAGGCTGGTAGGCTGGTGGCTAGAGGAGGTGGGTCCCTGGGGCATGCCTTTGGGATATCTATTTGGTCCTTGATGAGCAGAACTCACTCTCTTCTGCTTTCTGGTGTGATGTCTTGAGCCGCCTCGTTCTGCCACACTTTCATGGTGATATTCAGCTGTCCTTGAGCTCTGAGGAACACAGCTGGCTCTCTGTAGACTGAGGCCTCTGAAACCGTGAGCCCCCAAATAAACTTTTCCTCCTCTAAAATTGTTCTTGTCAGGTCTTTTAGTGATAGAGGCAAAGCAGCTCACTGCAACACTAGAATGTTGAATGGGGTAAGTTGTGACTGATGTGATGGATTCTCTCTTCCTTTTGAAATATGGCTTTAGCTCAGCATTGTTTCTCAGATCTGAAGAGATCTCTACTTTAAACCTTCCTATGAGAGGAAGGAGACATACATGGTAGTGGAGGAGTATATGTGTGTGTGTGTGTGTGTGTGTGTATGTGTGCATGTGTACTGTGGGGGCTCCGTCTGTCCAGAGAGATTTAGTCCAGAGGAGGAAAGCAGGAAGCCGAATCCAACAAACTCAGTGAACAGGCCAGAATGCCATTTGATGTATGGAAGCAAAAGGAACAAACATTTGAACTTGCTTCTCACCCTGGAACCTTGGGGCAAAGTTGAGGAATCGGGCAAAATTTATCTTCCATTCCACCAAATAGTTGGGCACTTAATCTTATAAAGCAAGATTTCATGTCTTCAGTTAATTCTCCCAATAGTACTATGGAAAAGAGGTATTAGCCCCATTAAAAAAGTTTCACTGAACTAAATTTCATATACAATAAAAGTGTCCTCATTAGGTACACWGTTCAGTTTTTAGAATATTCAGAGTCATGCAAATATAATCATAGCTGGCATTACAGACATGTACCATCATACCTGGCATTCCATAGGAGCTTAATTATGTTGATTTCTTTGCTGCACAGAAGCTTTTTTAATATACTATTTAGTTTAGGTGGACACAATACCTTTATTTTTATGTGGTGCTCAAGATCAAACCCAGTGCCTCATTTGTGCCAGGTGAGTTCTCTACCATTGAACCACAACCCCAGCTCCTGCACAAGAGCTTTTTAATGCAACCTCATTTATCAATTTTTGCTTTTGTTGTCTGTGCTTTGGGGATCGTATCCCAAAATTCATTATCCAGATGAACATCATGGAGCTTTACCCAGAGTTTCTCATAGTAATTTTAGTTTCAGGTCTTAGCACTTTAGTATGATATGAGATAAGGGTTTAGTCTTATTCTTGAGTGTGTAATTATTCACTTGTCCTAACACCACTTCTTGAGGAGACTATCCTTTTATCTTTGAGTGTTTTGGGCACCTTTGTCAAAAATCAGTTGTCACTAAACATGTGGATTTATTTAGAGAGACTCTATTCTGTAGTATTGATCTGTGTGTCTGTTTTTACATCAGTGCCATACTGTTTTGATCACTATAGCTTTGTAGCATATATCAAAGTCAGAAATGTGATGCCCTTAGCATTGTTCTTTTTGTGTGATCTATTTATTTAGGGCATTTTGTTCCATAAAAATTTTAGGACTATTTTTGTATTACTGTGAAATAATGCCATTGGAATTTTGAYAGATATCACATTGAATCTACATGTTTTKGGGTAGTATGGATGTTCCTGAAAGCTTAGTCCTTGTTCGCAATGCCAATCCAATAATGAGGACATGGTTTGGAAAAAAGGAGAAAGAAGATTTATTGCTTTGCTAGCAAAGGAAAAACACAGGGGATTCCTGTCCCAAA